TCGTTTCTAGCCACCAATTTTCCTTTGCAGTTCGTGGACAAAACAGTGGTTCTGGATCTCATTCCCCCCACCATCTGATCCCAGTTTCCTTCTTTTCGCTTGAAGAAGAAGCCACGCTTCTCCGAAGCTTGCTCTTTTTCCTCGGGAAAAGCCAACAATTCGGCTAAAAACCCCCCCCTGAGTTGACAACACGCAGTTTCCTCATCACGGACACATTTCCACCCTGGGCTGGAGCCTCCCGTTCCAATCGCGAAATGGGAGTCATAAACACAACCTGCTCCAGTTAACAGCAGCCCTGCCAATTACAGTGGCATTAAGAGCAAATCGCCGCCAATGTTTCCTGAGCTGAGTCAAATTGCAGAGGAACTATGCAAAATAACCACCGAGCGCATTTAAATGGAAACCTTTACCAGACAAATCACGATACAATAACTAATCCCTTGCTTGCATATATCCAAAGGCCTCATCTTTTCTTTCCTTTTAACTAAGCACTGAAATTGACTTTGAGTTTCTTTCGTTTCCGCCTCGGCGCCTGCCTGCAAACAAATGAAACGAGAGCAGGACAAATAATAAGTCCCCGGGGCCTGCCGTCCGCACTTCTTGATTACATCGATAGCTAATGCCTGCTCCGCCGCCGAACATCGTTTTATGTATTTATGGAAAGGGGAGCGAGGTGAATTTAAAAACGAACAAAAAAAAAAAATCACAGTCTTGCTGGGTGAGGCGAGTTAAAACAACCGCCATCTTTCCTGGCTCTCCCTTTCCCATTTTTCGCTGCAATAAATCATCGCCTGACCCCACGCAGGCCCCGGCACCCAGACTCGTGAAGGGTTTGGAGGGGAGGGAAAAGAGAGTTCTGCTCTTCTAAAGCGACCTTCCTATGGACCGTTCCCTCAATTTGTAAACAAGCGGCTCATTACAGAACGCGCTGAGTTAGCTAAAGAGCAAAAACCCCAAATGGGTCTTAAAACTTGCCGAGGTTTTTCCCCCACTCTTACCTATAGTTTGGATGGGTTGAACAGCTATTTAACATGTAAAACGTTTGGTTTCACATCATTTTGTAGACACTCCTATCCCTTAGGCTCCTAAGTCTTTAAGCAAGACCACAGTTTAGCCTCACTGTCTGCCAGGATGGTTCAGGTCACTAAGGCCTCCCAATTCATTTTTTTCCCCCAACAAGAAAAAAAACCCACTCACAAAAAGGAGGAAAAAGTCATGTGTAACACACACACACACACACACGGAAATCCAAAAGGTCTATCAGTATTCCTTGATTACACCATGGTGTTTCCCCCCCTCTCTCTCTCTTTTTAAATACAAGAAACAGTTCAAGAGACAAATTGTTTCTTGTGCTGTATCAATGCATTTCATTTAGACCTCCCTGCAGGAGGGCCCGGCCCAGAGATGTCATCCTGAAAGAAACGAAAAGATAAAAATATGCCGGGGAGAAAGAGGAGAGTATTGGAGGCAAATGGGCCGTGAACTGAAGCGCCGTGTCGTAGCACGGAGCTGGCTTGCAGGCTTTATTCAATCGCCCGATATTGTTGTGCTCCAGGCGGCTGAATGCACTCTTTGAGAAAAGGCTGCAGCATGAACTTAAAGCAAGTAAATTTCTATCTTTCTGCACATTAGCTGCCTCATTGCCTTTCAATCGAGCCCCTGAGAGCCAGAAGAAAAAGAGATAGAGAGAGAGAGAGAGAGTGACTTAGTGTAAAGAGGTAAAACTTGAACCATCTGTGTGGAAAACCTGTTAAAATATACGATTTTTCCTTTACACCATTAACATACATCTGGATCTACGAGCTGCACCTTTCGATTGCAGCCCTGTGTCTGTATCAACATCATACCCTCATTTATTAAGCATAATAAATACTGTACCTTAAGCTGCACAGTGCTTATTTTGACAGTGATGCCTCTTGAACATTAATTGAGCACTCAATCATTCTAGCAAGATGTTTTGAATGAAATAATTTAGGATGCGGGAGGTTCTTACACCTGCAGAACTACAAGCGTGTGGCTTAGCGTCAGGGACAGAGAGGCGGCTGAAATAACTACAGCCATTGGGCTGGGCAGTTCTGTGGCCCTGAACTTTCTGAACGCGTAAAAATCCAGAATACTTACTTGTAAAGGAGTTTAGACTAGTGATTTTCCTTATATATGTTTCCTGGCTCCTTTTAAAATATTAACCACATTTCATAAGAGCTGATTGG